TTTCCATCTCTATGGTCATAACACTGCACTTTTTTTTTTTTTATTATGTTCAAGACTCATATCATGTGCTATATCATAGTAAATATAGAACTCAATAAAAAATAATACAGTCAATAGTGACAAATTCAATCATGAGCTACATTCGATAATGGTCAAGCAACTGTGGCATTTACCCAAATCTTTTTCTTATCTTATGCATGACATATCTGACAGTGACGAAGCATCGACGGTGGGGTTATAGAACATGTCAAGTCTACCTTGTAGGCTAGTCTACATAATTTATAACCTAAAGCTCTGATACCAACTTTAACGACCCTAGATTTTTAACTAACTTAAAGTTGCTGGCATTTTCATAACATCATCTCTTATGCGGAAATAATCTTTTAAAACATCATCGTAAAACATTGCTATAGACTTACATGTTTCAAAAAGTCTTTAAAGGGAAATACGAAATATTAAATAAAATAAATAAATCTTAAAATTGAAAAATGCCCTATACTAACACGTGGTATAAGAATTAAAATACAATTATCCTATGCATGTGTCATAGTCTTTATTTGCGTTGTCATCGTCAGTCGTATAGGGGTGGGTTGTCTTTACCTGAAAAATAGAAGTAACACAAGACTATTTTAAGAAATGGTCCGTAAGTGACCCCATTATTGGGGTCAGGGAATGCAAATACATGCAACTCATGTCAAGGATCTATCGTTAAAACTGTCATAGAGGTGGCCTCCAATTCGGACAAAATTGGACGTGTAGCATTTCCTTACACACGACCCACATGTGCAAGCGTGAGTCCCCAGGCGGATTGCACCCCCCTAGTCCCATCATAGTCGGGTTAGTTGTCTGTAGTCAGACGTCTAGAGGTCAACAAAGCCCTGAGTATCCTGCGAGGTATGATGATGATGATGATGATCATCATCATAGTGTACGTGTTTATACTCATCATCATAAATGGTGAAGTAACCCGTCATATATGAACACACAATATGCATAAGGTCTCTATGATTTTCATCTTTAAATCATTCTTATGACACAACCTCATACATCATTCACGCATTACTCTAGGTAACTTGTATGCATTGGCCTTCATACGTTCATCATCATTAACATCAATTGGAGTTGTATCTTAGAAAAACTCTTTGTCATAATGCATCATGACATTTAATATATGCACATTATCTTAATATGAAATATCATCATGTTAAGTCATCTCATCATCATGCATCTTACATCATCATGTTATCATGCATCATCATCATTATGTCCCCATATTATGTCATCATTACATCATCTCATATCATCATATACATCATCAAGTCATCATATAACACCATCATATCATCATATAACATCGTCACATCAGCACATAACATTGTCACATCACATAACATAAAGCATAAATGACATGTTCAAGGGCCACTAGGCACGTGATGTCATACATAAGGCAAGTCTTCTGATCGAGTCGATAGTAAGACCACTTACTTGGTTGGCCTTAGCCAAAGTTCTATCTAGCTCCAAATTTACTTGCTTTCGTCCTTCGAATTTGTTCTCTCTTATGTCGAGACTTCACCTATTGTTAATATTCACTTAATGTCCTCAATAAAAATCAAATTTCATGTTTTCATTGTTTATAAAAAAAAAAATTGTTAGTAAAACTTAAATTAAAAAAATATGTTAGTATTATTTCAGGTTGCGGATATGCAGTCAATTTATAAAAAGACAGTTTAACCATCTCGGGTCTTCCCTTTTCTTTCTCTATCTATTTACTCTTATCTTCTTTTTTTTAACAACTGCTAATCATGACGTGATTTCCTAAACTCATACAAAATTATTGGCATTTAATTTATAACTCCCTAAGAGAAGATCTCAAATATAACTTATTGTAATTTCCTAAAATAAAAAAAGAAAGTCATATCTGTTTTGAATGGAGCTATACACGTCACTTATCGTAGGCTAAACGGATTCTTGTCTCATCTTTATCAAGCTACACCAAATTAATTGAGCTATGACTCACTTCTTTATGTCACTTATCGTATGACCCACTTGGTAGTCTCTAATCTCACTCGATCAATTCAGTCCACTCGTTCCCATTCGTGAAGTTGCAATCCATCTCTATTTTATTAGGTTGTACTTAATAACTTCTCGATGCCACTTATTGAGTTACGGTTCACTAACACACTAACAAATTATTTTTATTTTTTTTTATTTCGAGATCTATCATTATATTTTCCTTACTTTCAGAGAGTAACTAATTTTTCAAGAAATGTCAGTATTTATCAACCAAATCCGAACCCAATTTAAAAATAGAGAGGGTTGAGTTGTGAAACATTTCGGGTTGAATTGAGTTACCAATCTAACCAACACGAACTTTTGAGTTGGTCCAAAAAATTCTCTCGATCCAACTCAACTCAACCAATTACAATATTTTTCTTCATTTTTTGTTTCTGTAATTTCAAACGTCTGTTTTGGTTTTATTTTTAAAATTAATAAAAAGGTGTGACATCATTTATTTTTAAAAAAATATAAAATTTACTAAAATTAGGATTAAAAGAATACCTAATAATTAGATTTTAATTTTAATTTTTTATTTGTTTAAAGTAGTTTGAAAGAATCAAGGTAGTGATTGTTGTTTGAAGAGTCCAAGGAATAAATGATGATACGACAGCTCACGTATCGAAACCGAACCTCAAACAGCCTTTGTCCTTAGACCGGACCGCGTGGCGCGTACCGTCCATGGCTTTTCAACGTCTCCGTGTACGGTACACTTCCAAGAATCTTACTAATTTAATAATTTTATTCATTTTATTATAAATTATAATTTTAAAATTTTAAATTATTTGATAATTCATAAATAATTTATATGGTTCTTAATTTTCCTTTTTGAACGGCAAACTTCTAATTTTATTAAATCCTGATAAAATTATTATATTTAGAAAAAATGAATAAACCACACTCAATTCAGTAAATGCCAAAAATAACCTTAAATTATAAAGAATGAAGTGAAATTTTAAAAGTGGGAACTAACTTTATCCTAATTGTCCATAGACTTTGTAGCAATTATTGTGAAAATCTAACATTTCCTTGTGTTATCTCAAAAAATATAGAAAAATGGTGAGTATTTAAAAATACTTAGTAAGTGACATCACGCTTGATGCACTATCTCCCTTCAACCCTTTGAGCGAAATGCGGCAAAAGGAAGGAAAATCCATGGACCGACCTCATCGTCTCCACCCCGTAGGAACTACGAGATCACCCCAAGGACGCCTTCGGTATCCAGGGGTCGCGGACCGACCATAGAACCCTGTTCAATAAGTGGAACGCATTAGCTGTCCGCTATCCGGTTGGGCAGTAAGGGTCGGAGAAGGGCAATCACTCATTCTTAAAACCAGCATTCTTAAGACCAAAGAGGCGGGCGGAAAAGGGGGGAAAGCTCTCCGTTCCTGGTTCTCCTGTAGCTGGATTCTCCGGAATCACAAGAATCCTTAGTTAGAATGGGATTCCAACTCAGTACCTTTTGAGATTTTGAGAAGAGTTGCTCTTTGGAGAGCACAGTACGAAGCTGAAAATGCAAATACAAACCACATGTCTATAACTATCACAATTTGTGGGATCTAATTCCATGATTGATCACGTTCTTTTTTGAGTAAAATTGGAAGTGCATTTACTTCACTACACATGGCTCGTTTACATTCATATGGACCCACTAGACGAGTATCAATTTTTCATGGATCTGATTATAGGCATCTATATGCTCATACATACGGGAACCATGGAAAAGAAGAAGATGCAAAATAAATTGCTTAAACATAATGCATGACTGGAGAAATAACATGCCTAAGACCCCCACAATATAAGAAAAAACATGGTTCAATGATCTCATGCAATATAGTATGCAATCATACATAATCATGATTCATATCCCATGTGACCGACATCTATACCATCTATCATTAATACATTCATATGTGACTATCAATCTCATCTCATCAAACATATTACTGATCATAACATATAACTTGATCAGAATGTCGTCCATATCATATATTCATCAATTCATACATGATTTTTCGGTTTCATAAAACCCAAGATTAATTACCATAGTAGCATATGTTATTCACATATCATATAACATTTAGTCTGAGTAACTCACAACTATCACTATAATGACATGTTATAACAGCCCAAACTCACCGCTAGAAGATATTATCCTTTTTGGATTTTTCCTTTCAAACTTTTCCTCAGCATCTGGTATGAAGAATTTTTCATACCCTTATAAAAAAAGGTTTGTTCTCCCTCTCTAACAGAAAAAAAGAAAAAAAGTCTGAAAGGATAAGCCTAAAAATAACACTAATTACTAGGGGTGTGCTTGGACTTTTACTGCTCACTAGGCCAACTTATATTCAAAATGATAAGCACAGTCTCATATATAAGGAACATGATTCATCTAACATAGACTAAGACCATGAAAAAACCACAAATACTATAGAAATAGAAATATTTATTTCATTTTATTGTCCCGTCAAAATATTTTTAAAAAATGTTTGAAGAAGAAAAAATAAAATAAAAAAATAATAAAGAAGATGATAAGTGGAGTGGCGTATCAAAGATTTGTGAGCTTGGGCTGGAGCGCGTAACTGCCAAAGCAGTTCAACGGGACCGAGTATAAGAAGCCTCCCAGAAAATCCTCGTCACTTCCTTTATTTGACCAATAATTTCTAAATATAAATCATTTTCTCTCTCTTACTTCACCATTCAGGTGCTTTCCGTTTTTTAATTAAATCCCCAAACCTCCTTTTAATATATATAAATAATTTAATTTAAACACGAGATAAATATGGCACAATTTTTTAATTATTAAAATTAAAAAATTAGAAGTGAACCTTTTTTTTCTTCTCTCTCTCCTCAAGCAATCCCTCACAGTTTGAGGGATGATTTTTTTTTAAAATTTAAACATTTTTTAATTGCAACTTTGTTAAATAATTAAAGAAAATATTATCAACCAAATGTAATTTTTATTTCTTTTATTCCATTTGGATTTGACTATTTTAGAATTTCTAAACAAATAATTTGACCAAAAAATGAATTCTTTCCCTAATTTAAAAAATAGTTGAAAGAATTTTCACAATATTTAAATTTAATTTTGATTTAACCGGCTCCGAGATTGACCGGCGAAATCCATAATCAAACTCTTAATGTCGTCGTCGTCTTCGAATATTTCAGCCAAAACGACGTTGTTTTGAATCTTCATCATTGATGACGGTGTCCTCGGTGCTACAGCTGCTTCATTTCGGTTGAAATTAGAAGTGGCGGTGACTGTGGCGGAGGTGGAGGTAGTAGTGGAGGCTGCCGGGGGAGAATAATTGAATGTCGTTAAGGAATTGTCAGAGGAGGGGAAGTTGAGTCTGGCACGTGGGCCTCGGAACTTAATGGCGGCTTCATCGTAGGCACGTGCGGCTTCCTCAGCAGTATTGAAGGTGCCAAGCCAGACTCGGGCGGCGCGTTTCGGGTCGCGAATTTCGGCGGCCCATTTGCCCCATGGACGTTGCCGGACACCTCTGTAATTCTTCTTCAATCGTCTGATACGGCGGCCGGAGTTGTTGTTGTTTTTATCGGTGGTAGTGGTGGTGGGCTGGTGGGAGTAGGGGGTTGAGAAGAAGTTGCAGCCCAAACAGCCGCTGATTCTACAGATGTGACACGTGTCAAAATCAGAAGAGGGTGGAAAGATGGTGGTGGTGTTGTTAGTGGAAGGTGGGTGAAGAAGGCGGAGGAAGTGGTCGTGTCGGAATTCGAGGCCGGCGGCTGCAGCGCCGGAGACGACTTGGGTGAGGGCGTCGACAATAACGACACCTTCCTGCTCGTCGGTGAGGCGGGGGAAGGCGGCGGAGTTGTGGTGGGAGGCCATAAGCATGCTGGACGGGCACTGGAAGAAGAGAGTGTTTTGGGAATTTTGTGATTTTAATTTTGAAATGGATGGGGAGGAGTGAGAAAGGGAAGAGGGATATATAAGAGAGAGAGAGAGAGAGAGAGAGAGAGGAGAGGAATGACGTGGCAGACAGCTGGTCACACCGTTAAGACACGGACACAGAATTGTAAATTGTAAAGAGTACGGCCGTGAGATACGTGATGACGCAAGACGGAGGTTTGGAACTCTTCTAACTACGCTCGCCCTCTGACGCGATGCCACGTATTTTTGTTCTATTTTTCCTTTTTTAATATTTATTATTTATTCATATATATATATATATATTTTTTTTTTCCTTTTTTTGGAAAGGTATACCTTATCCATTCCAATTTCAAATTAATAATATAGGATCATCTACATAGAAAAACATTTAGTAAACGATGTCATTGACTTGAATATTCATAGTAAAAATTTTAAAAACAACATAGTGAAAAATCAATATGATGTTTAAATAAAACAAGGTAAAAATAAAATAATGTCCTAATCAATCCTAAGAGCTACTAATAACATGAATGCATCTACCCTAACTTCAGTCCTATGACTGCCACCGTGACATCTTCTCATCTTTGTACATGTATAAGAATAGCAAGTGATTTGAGTATTTTAAAAAATACTTAGTAAGTAATCCCACTGTTAAGGTCAGAATATGCAATCACACGCAATACGAGCATATACGTACCCCTTGGGCCTACCCTTCAGCTAGTGCATGCTTATGCTGCTGGAGCCATGTAGGGAAATGAGCTCGCATAATATCATAGTGTACATATATATCATAATGTATGCGTCTGTACTTATCAGAAAGTATCACCATGCACATGACATATAAAGATGCATGAGGTCCCTGTAGCTTAAAATCATGGCATAAGTCTATGATGCAAGTCAAACCTTAATTCGTTAATAACATAACGGGCTTGTGAATCATCCATACATAATTCCTATAAAAATTTTCGTACTTAACATAGGGACATGATATCGTGAATGGAGGTTATGTATCATAGATTATCAATATCATAAACGTGGTTTCATAACATGAAATAATTACACTATAACAAAGCTTAAACACTTGGCATAGCATAACATAACATAATATAACATCACATGACATAACATAGTATAAGATGACATAGCATAGCATAACAATCATAATTATGACAAGTGCAAGAGCCATGGGACATGTGTCATCATACATCATACCATTCATCCAACTAAGCTAACAATAAAACCACTTGTTGACCCAAGTCGAAGCCACTAATTTAACCTTAATGCTAATCTGGATCTACCCCTTGATATCTAACTCAACCTACGTGGGTCCATGACATTGAGTTAGAAAATATTAATGAGCTTGACTCACCTAAAGATATTAAATAGTCAAAATTTCAGCTAAAAGATAATTTAAATTGAGCAAACATGGGTTATACTGATGTCAAATGCTTCCAAAAACGTAAAATATGGTTTTAGGAGGATAAAAACGGTAGCAGAGGGTCTATAAATTTCAAATGTGGCTCAAAACAAGTAACCCAAGTTGTTTCAGCTATTTGGAGCTGCATAACCAAGCCAAACTGACATTGGCGAGGGGTGCGGGTCGTAACATTAGGTCGGGTCAGGTGCGTGGGTTTAGACATAGGTCACAGGGTTATGTGCACGGCTCAAATACTAGGTAGGGACAGTAACTGGTTGGTTATTACTCTAACTCGAGCTTGAGAAACCGACTTTAACTGAATTCAAAAAGTACTACAAACAAGAGTATGCCAATCAATCTTAGAAAAGTAGCTCGGGGACCTTGTGGGTTGGTGTTGGAAACGGTTCAAACTCATAGATTTGAGCTTTATACGCTAGGGGCAACATCCTTCGAGGAGGCTCGACTCCTTTGTTTTTGGAGTTCTTTGTTCAACATCGGAGGGAGACTCGACTCCTTTTCTTTTGAAGTCCTTTGTTCGACATTTGAGGATTTACCAATATATCCACTTTGAGCATAAACTCTCATGACTTTGCTTTGGGTTTCCTAAAAGACCTCGTACCAATGGAGATAGTATTATTTGATTATAAACTCATGATCATTTTCTGAATTAGCCGATGTGGAGATTTCATCCAACATAGAGTAGTATCAGTTCGTATAATTAGAGAGTGACGAGCATGAGACAACATGTCTCACTAGATATGAGGTACTATTAATCAAAAATATATTGCCTATTATAGATAATATTAAATTACAAATAAAAAATTATAATTATCATTAAAAATTAAATAACTAATTATAATTTAAGTGACAAGCAACAAACATTATTTTAAAATTTTAATCGGTTCAAAATTTCAAAGAGTTAAGACCATTTATATAATTGTATTATAACCAATAAATAAAATAATGGAATCAAATTAAGACTATTTTTTTTAATAATTAAAAAAAAAAAAAACAATAAAAATGTGACGGCGGCAAGAGGACAGGTGACTTCCGGCGAGGGCCAACAGGTCCAATCGGAATGTCCAAAGAAGTGTGAAAAGAAAATAGAATCTTTCATAGACATGGAATTTGACTTTTTCTTTTTTTTTTTTCTTTTCCTTTTTTAAAATATTAAATATTAAATATTTTCGGTTTGACTTTTAAATTTGTTACCCTACATATTTTGTGTTTAATCACACCATTACAATTTTGATAATTTTTTTAATAATTATCAATAAATTAAAATTTATATAGTGATAATTAATTCACAAATCAAACTTTATGTTTTAGAGTAATTATAATAATAAATTTATAAAACTAAATTTGCTTCTATTTTGTTCTCACCTTCATAAATATAAGAAAAAAAAAATAGTAATAAAACTAATGAATAATTATTTTTAAATAATTATTCAAAAAGTGTTCTAATTAACCACATAAATTATTCATTTATAAAATAATAGTTAAAAGACTAAATTAATAAAAAATATCTCAAATTTTTATACTTTATTTAAAAAATACTTATAAAATTTTAAAAGTTTCGAAATTTAAGTTAAAAAAAAAAGACCTTTATTATCGGTACAACATTTCAAAAATATGGATGAACTTTCAAAAAATAATATTAAAAAGAAAAATAACCAATTAAGTGTTCGTAGATGATTTTCATCCATATATTAATAGTAAACTTTTTTTTTTTTTGAATGTTTAATTTAAACCTAATACAAACATTAAAAATATTTTTTAATTATTTTAAAAAGTTGGGTATTAATAAAATATCTTAGTTCAATTATATTTTTGAAACATTATTCAACAAAACATTATTAAAAGTTCAAGAATATTTTTAAAATAAAGTAATAACGGTTTTCTTTTCAAATTAATTATAAAATATATTTTTAAATTTAAGGATATTTTTAGAGAAAACTACAAAATTTATGATATTTTTATTAACTTAACTTTTAATGCACGTCTTTTAAAATAATATTATTTAAAATATTTTAGCTGTATTACCTTATACATTAGTAAAATATAAGTTCTATATTAGCCTAAGATAAATAAACCATTGATTTAGGATATATTTGCATTAAAAAAATGTTTAGATTGGTTTACACTTTCCGAAATTGTCTAAAAATATTTTATTCAACATTTATTTGGTATCATAACGTGGAAGCATTTATTAATAGTTAGTCTCGACCTCCAAAAAAAAAATAAATATATATGAAGCTCACAACTCTATTCTCGACATAGTGTTGTGGTCATTTTTGTCTATCCATTTAAAGTTGATTGTCATTGAGCCCATCTATATCGACCACAATATCAATATCATTTGATGAAAGTGACAAGGATATCGTCTACCGTCACTTTTCTCCACCGTTTTCTTTCTCTTTCTCCTCCTTTCATCTACCTTATACATGTTTCTAGAATCAGGCCAACCTCGAGTCTTGTCTCTCGTCAACTAGACATCCCCCCTCGAAGATATCACAATATCAAAATGAATCAAATTTATCAATATATATATATATATATATATTTTTATATAGTAAAAGAATCCCAAAGATTTAAACCAATCAATTTGATTTATAATATTTAATTCTAAGATTAAGGGCCACGTGGGACATTGCAAAATTGAAAAAGGAGTGTGGAGTCCGTGTATGTTGTGAATTCTGATTGTGAAAACGACAAAATTGAAAATAGTTTTGAAAAAAAGAAATAAAAAAAAAAACCTTTTTGGGACTTTTTAAAATTTAAAATATTATATTCTTATTTTTATTTTTTACCTTTTAAATATTTCACCGTAAATATTTACTTTTTGTTTTTATCTTTCAGGATGATTTTTTGTTAATTAATTTAAATATTATGGTAGAATTTTGTAAAACTAATTTTAATAGCGGTAAAAAAAAATTCAAATATATAAAAAGTTTAAATATAGAGAGATAAAAATCTAAAATTTTGAAATTAAAAAATAAGAATTAAATAGAAATTTGAAAAATTAAAAGACAAAATTGAGAGAGATTTTTTAATGATGGACTCGGTCTCAAACTCATTTTAATGCACTAGGTGGTGTACCGCCTACCATTTGCTTATGTTCACACCATTTTTAACATCATTTTCTTCTAATCAAATAATTATTTTTTAGCGATAAAAGTAGAGATGTATATAGTAGTGGGACACGGACGACCTTCCCGCTCCCATCCACGTCACCTATTTCATTTCTCATCCCCTCTCCTTCTTCTCTATTGTTGTTTTTTTTTACCCTCGATCTCATTTTAATTAATCTCAATCAATTAATTGATGTTGCCACGATAACAAATCTATTTTTAATTATTAATTATTTTCAGTATTTTGAACCGTTCACAGTATAAGGTTGGAAATAACGATTTCAACGACTTTTTAATTATTCAAATCAGAGCTAAAACGAAGAAATTACAGTCGAGACAACATACCCGACGTGATGATGTGACAGCAAAATCAAAATATATCCAAGTATGACATTTATAATTTTGGAAGAGTAACAACGGGTGAAATTTTTCTTATTATTATATTTCTAAATAAAATAATTTTTACATAAT